TAATCGCCTATGCTTCACGACAGTTGAAGAAGCATGAGGTGAATTATCCTACTCATGATATAGAGCTGGGGGCAGTGGTGTTTGCACTGAAGATATGGAGACATTATCTCTACGGGGAGACATGTCACATATACACTGATCACAAGAGCTTGAAGTATGTGTTTACTCAGAAAGAGCTAAACATGAGACAGAGACGGTGGATGGAGTTGATAAAAGACTACCATCTGGTGATAGAGTATCACCCAGGCAAGGCTAACGTGGTGGCAGATGCTTTGAGCCGGAAAAGCTCGTCTGGGGCATTGCTAGCTAATTTGAGGGCATTAAGAGCCCAACTGGAGGTATCCAGCGAGGGTGCCTTATTGGCACGATTTGAGGTGAGACCTACTTTACTTGATGAGATCAAGAAGGGTCAGGAAACTGACGAAGAAATTATGAAGATCCGGGAACGCATGCAAGCGGGACCGGTGGAGGACTTCAGAGAAAGAGATGACGGTCTCTTATTATTTCGTGACCGAGTGTGTGTCCCGGCAGATGACGAGCTCCGAAAGTCCATCTTAGAGGAAGCTCATTCATCGGCTTATGCCATGCACCCGGGGGGCACGAAGATGTACCGTGACCTGAAGGAGAGTTACTGGTGGTCAGGTATGAAGAGAGAAATAGCCGAATATATCAGTCGATGCCTTACTTGTCAACAAGTTAAGGCAGAACATCAGCATCCAGCAGGCCTATTGCAACCACTTCCCATTCCTGAATGGAAGTGGGAACACGTGACTATGGATTTTGTGGTAGGGTTGCCACGGACAATCAGGAACTATGATGCAGTTTGGGTCGTTGTGGATAGGCTCACGAAGAGTGCACACTTCTTGCCTATCAACACTACCTACCCACTTGAGCGGTTAGCCAAATTGTATACGGATGAGATCGTGAGGCTGCATGGGGTCCCAGTGACCATTGTATCTGATAGAGACCCACGATTCACATCACGTTTTTGGCCGAAATTTCAGGAGTCTATGGGAACGAGGCTGAAGTTCAGTACTGCGTTCCACCCACAGACGGATGGGCAGTCTGAAAGAGTCATACAGATCTTAGAAGACATGCTGAGGGCTTGTGCACTGGAGTTTCAAGGAAGTTGGGACAACCACTTAGCACTCGTGGAGTTTGCCTATAACAACAGTTATCAGGCAAGCATCGGCATGCCTCCATACGAGGCATTGTATGGGAGGAGGTGCCGTACACCGTTATGCTGGGACGAGGTTGGCATGGCCAAACTCGAGGGTACTGAGTTGGTTGAGGTCACCAAATCAAAGGTGAAGTTGATCCGAGAGAGACTCAAAGCGGCTCAGGATAGACAAAAGAGTTATGCAGATAAGCGTCGAAGAACCTTAGAGTTTAAGGTTGATGACGAGGTATTCTTGAAAGTTTCTCCTTGGAAAGGGATCATTCGGTTCCAAACCCGAGGAAAACTTAACCCACGATATATAGGTCCATTCAGAATTTTAGAGAGGATTGGGGCCGTTGCATATCGTCTACAGTTGACTCCTGAGTTAGAGAAGATACATAATGTGTTTCATGTATCCATGCTTAAGAAGTACGTGCATGATCCCTCTCACGTATTGGAGAAGCCACCTGTAGAGGTACGTGGGGATTTGAACTACGCTGTTCAACCTATCAAAGTCACCGATAGAAAGGTGAAGAAGTTGAGGAGCAAAGAAGTCCCAATGGTTAAAGTCCTGTGGAAGAGCGATCGGGTCGAGGAAGAGACATGGGAAACAGAGGCTTTGATGAGGAAGCAGTATGCTTTCCTATTCGAGTAGAGCTGTGAATTTTGGGGACGAAATTCCTGTTAAGGGGGGGTGAACTTGTGACACCGCACCCGAACGTCCTTGAAAATTCGATTTAAAAACTTAACATTTATGTATTGAATTTCCGATTTGCCAAACAATTGTAAAGCGATTAATGTTCTACGTAGTGCACGATTGAATATCGTACTGTTCAAACTCGTATGATAGTGTCGGGTTTGCAAACACTTTTCGGGACTTATTAATAAATAAAAGAGCTCAACATTTTCTAAATAAGTGATCGAATGATTAAAAAGAATACCAATGCCTACAACCCTATCTTTGGCATTTTTGAGCTAAATAATGGAAGTAGGATTTTCCTTCTATAATATCCATCAAGTAAATTATTGGGATGAGCCTACACATATTGGAGATCAATAATGTGATTTAGGAAGTTGACTTGTTCTAAATAAATTAGGATGAGTACAAAAAGACATCTTTTGACAAAGATAAAACAATAGGACCCATTTTCCCCATTTTTGGAAGTATTGGTAGATAATTTGGATTCCAAAATGATTGGGATCAATTGGGAACCACTCCACATGATATTAGTACCTGCAAGACAAATAAAAATGGGTTAGGAAACTTACCTTGGCCGACCACCATGGAGAGGAGCTGTACAAGACTTGATAGGAATCAAATGTTGGGCCACCATCCCTATTTTCGCACAAAATGGTGTGCTGGTTGTCTCCACTCATTATGGGAGTTATACTCGACCAAATGAGGTGTATAAGGTGTCCTTGGATAGCCTTTGAAGTCTAGTATCTCAATTGAGTGGTCTTTGTTCGAGGAGAGAGAGCTTATCTTACCAGAATCGAGCTGAAGTGAGTGGTGGTCTGTAAACTCGAGCTGTGAGAGTGCTGAGACTGTTTGGTTGATATCTCGAGTTATACCAATCCAATTAAGGCGTGTGAGATACCCAAAGAAAGCTCTCAAGACGAGGAATCCGTGAAGGTCTGGTTTGCAGGAATCGGAGTTGTGGAAGGCTTCCAAATCGTCCGAGCAAAACACAACCTCGCAGGAGAGGATTTAATCTTCTAAAAGTGAGTTTTAACCCCAAAACTTTACTTTTCATTTTCCAAATGATATGAACGATTGGTGGGACTATCATACACTAATCCAAGTGTATAATATGTCCTTATAAAGTTATTTTATTGATGTAAAGGTTAGATACTAACCTAGAACAAATCTTGGAAAAACTAGGAAACGAGTTGACCGGGAAACACCCGTTCTAGGGGCTGTTTTCGTATCAACGATTAAGGGTTGAACTAGCACTTTGAGGAGGCTGTTTAACACTCATATTTGAGCAAGGAATCAGTTCCAAATCCACCTTGACCAAAGCTTTGACCATTGGACCAAGAAGGGAAAGTTTAAAGCTCAATTGAGGTGAGGATTGACATCTAATTGCTTACAACTTGTAGGTTAAGCATGAGATTACCTAAATGCTTAAATCATTATTTTTTCAGGGATTATGATGATCATATATTGATGAAATATTGATATAGTTGCCAAAGAATGAAATTTGAAATGATTTGAGAATGTATGAATAACATGAGATTTAATGAGTATAAATGAACTGTTTTTGCGAAATAGGTATTTTGCTCATGTATGAAGTATTTGGATACATAAATGAATATTTGTGTATTGAGATTGAATACTTAAGTTGCTGCTACATATTTGTAATTATGTAGAGAATTACAAATAAAGAGGATAGTGGTATGATAACAATAATCTTAATAGTATTGAAATACTAGTTAGTGATTATTGGAACTTGTTGATTAAATTGATCCTAGGGATTGGATTGTATGAAAGGTGCTTGAATATAGTTCAAGTGTATATAATAACTTAGTATGGAACTAAGGTTAAGTTATGGGAAGTCTTTAAGGATGACCCATGGCAGTTTAATGATATGTCAATTCTAGGCATAGGGTTGCTTGAGAATTGGACCTTAATGCATGGTGATGTAGTAGAGCCGAGCTCTAGAATGCATGTAAGGTGTAGACTTGTAGTCTATGTATTGTATAGCTAGAGCCGAGCTCTAGGGCTTGCGTGGTGATGTAATAGAGCCGAGCTCTAGAACGCAAGGTAAGGAATTGACCCGAGTGACATGAATTGTATGGTGATGTAGTAGAGCCGAGCTCTAGAATACAATGTCATGTGTTAGGGTTGGACTCTATTGAGTATCGTGGCTTGTAGCCACGGGAAATGGGAATGGTGATTTCTAAATGAACATGGGCCCACGGGCCGACTACTTGACTTTTACCTAAAGTAAGTATATTTTCAAATGGGTAACTTAGGGTTACAATCATAATATACTATCACCCTATTTGAGGGTCTTGTGCTTGAAATACTTGTTGTATATCTATTAGATGCCTGCCACACCAGTACTTTATAGCCGTATAGAGTACTGACCCCTTCGGGGGCGTCCCACCACCATTTCAGGTTGAGGCTAGAGCTTGCTTCCTGTGCTCGTTGCCCGAGTGATTTCCCCGGAGAGAAGACTTGGTTCGTGCTTCCTCCATTCAGTTTTAGAACATTAATAAACATGCTCATGGATATTTTACTTTAGAGCCTGCGTGCTCATGTTTGCCCTGTGTGGCCCTTTGTTTTAAACAATGTTTTCCGCTGCGTATTGAATTGCTTATTATGTATGTTTATGGATGACTTATGTGTGAATGATATTCATGACGCCTTGTATAATATGAATGTGTTGGACTGCGGTTGACTATTCGTATTGTACGGCGGGTTGTTGACGGGTCCGGGGAGGTCCGGGGCGTGACAGTACGCTTATCTTAAAAGATAACAATCCGACGGCTTTGAATAAAAGGAAATCCATCCAACGGGTAACATAATGATTCCCTACCCACTTGTGTCTGACATTGTAAGTAGTGCGTGACATGTAGTACTCTTATCTCAAAAGAAAAGAATCCGATGGCTTTGAATAAAAGGAAATCCATCCATCGAGTAACGTAATGATTCCCTACCCACTTGTGTCTGACAATGCAAGTAGTGCGTGACAAGTAGTACGCTTATCTTAAAAGATAAGAATCCGATGGTTGTGAAGAAAAGGAAATCCATCCATCGGATGATCTAAGGATTCCTTATCAACCTCTACATTCTATAAAAACTGATGTCCTGAATGATCATACTTCATCAATACCTCTATCCCACAATCTATATTCTATCTTTTTTCCTTTACGAGCAAAATGACTTCAAGATCAAGTAGTTACAGCATAGCTGAAGACGTGTTGTTGTGTCAAGTGTATTTAGACATAACTCAAGACCCGATCATCGGCAGATATCAATCTGCAAATGATTTCTGGTCACGCGTTGAGGCTAAGTACAACGAACAACGTCAACAAAATCACGAGCATCGTAATACACGTTCACTGCATTCAAGAATGGATACAATAAGTACTCAGGCACGGAAGCTAAATGGGTGTGTGAAGCAAGTTGAGAATTTAAACCCAAGTGGTGCTTCAGAAAAAGATATTGTAAGTATAATATAATTTTAATTTTCAATAATTTATTTACTTTTGTGTAATACAAATTTATTTTATGATATGCAGCTGGATCGCGCTAAAGTTTTATTTATGCAAGATCCAAAATATTCTAAAGGTTTTAAATTTGACCATGTTTGGAACATGATTAAAAATTTTGAAAAATTTAAAGATAATGTGCCAACTGCAAGACATGCTGCTCCAAAAAAGAGACAAGTTAATTACGACTCTTCCCAATCAGACTCTCATCCACCATCTCCAATTTCCTCATCACCTGGATTGTCATCTTCGTTCAATAAAGAAGTTGATACTAATTCCGGGTCAGATTTCTCAACACGGCCAATAGGGGTAAAAAAAAGCCAAATTTAAGAAGAAAAACAATGAAGACACCACTGTTTTGCTTATGTCAGTTAAGAGCGACAATGAGCAACTTATAGACATGTTGAAGAAATCGTCGTTAGATCGTCGTTTGTATTCTGTTATAATGTTGTTTGGATTTGAAACTTTATTTATAATATTGTGTGATTTAAATTTTATTATATTTTTTTGGGATAAGGGTCAGATAAGGCCTCGAACTTGAAAAAAAATGTCAAATAAGGCCATATTTAGGATGCTCTGTCCGGCCGACGCCATTTGGGGTGGTTCCCGGTGGAATTTTTTGATGAATTTTTTTGAGAATCTTATTCATTAAGTCTAGTTTACTCATATCAAATTTGAACTAACAATTCAATCGGGAAGGCATTCAAATGAATTCATGAAGATAACTGCGCTTTTAACGGTACAGTTATCTTCAAGAATTCATTTGAATGTCTTCCCGATTAAAGTTTTAGTTCAAATTTGATATGAGTAAACTAGACTTAATGAATAAGATTCTCAAAAAATTTCATCAAAAAATTCTACCGGGAAGCACCCCAAATGGCGTCGGCCGGACAGAGCATCCTAAATATGGCCTTATTTGACATTTTTTTTCAAGTTCGAGACCCTATCTGACCCTTATCTCTATTTTTTTCTATCAAATTAATAATTTTAATTTGTTGTTCTATAAGGATGTTTTTAATAGGACTGTAATTTGTCTCGAGATCAGATCAGACCTGATTAGACCACACTTGGGTAGTTATAAAAATACAAAGAAATCAGATCAGATCACATCATTTCAGATCAGACCAGATCAAATCAGACCAGACCAGAGCGGAAAAACCAATTTCAGTCCAAGTAAAACATCCTAATTTGTTGTTTTAAAAATGGGTCAAAACTATAATAATTAAAACTTGAAGGTCACATTTAAAAGGAAAAAAAATTAAAAAAGGTGGATGGTGTTGAGAATGGCGTACGCCATATATGGCGTGAAGCCATCTCCTCTCCCCCAAAATGGTGTGATGGTGTGGAGAATGGTGTCATTGTTGGAGAGGGTTTTTGGCAAATACACCAAAATGGTGTGTGATTTGGTGGTCTTTTGGAGATGGCCTAAGTAGACAGTACTACGTATACTGTATATACACTACAGGTTACAATTTACAGTTTACACCACTCAAAAACAGAAAAATGGTGAATATTATGCAGTGTAGATAATACTCCTTATAATTCTTTTGATTTTTTTTACCAAAATAATTCTTTTGATTTAAATAAGAGTATGCTTCGTAGGTTTTATAAAACATTATATTTCTATTTTAAATATAATTAATTAATATAATTAATTACTTCTAAGTTCCCTTGCATAACTAAGGCCAATTCGTTCATGACGGGGTGGTCTAGGCACAGTGGCAGTCTAGTGGTGGCTGAATTCTGGCAACTGACTGTGGTTACGATGGCGGCAATCTAGTGGCGTCCAAATTTTGGAGATTGGTGGCGGCGGATTTTCGGTAGCGGCATCGGTCAGTAGGCAGTGTCAAGCCCCAACTCTGCCTTTTTAGAGTTCTTATCCAATCACAAAAAGACTCCTATTTAGAAAATTTTAAGCATGTGTTTCTAGTTCTGCCTTTTTAATGCTCTCTCCGTCCCCAAATGAAGTTTCTAATTTGACATACACACATATTTATGTAAGATAACATTTTGTTTTGACTTTCCAAGGTATATCCTTGTTTTATGTCAAATTAAGCAAAAAGCGAGCAAATGTAAGGGTATTTGTGATATTTTGGTTAAAAGTTATGAGAACTTTTTTCTGAATGGAGGTAGTATGTTTTACTCAGAAATTATCTCTTCTTTTAATGATTATTCGTGCGTGTTTGTACTCCTATAATGCTAAAATCTTGCACGTTCAAATTTAGATTTGACCACATTCAACTGTAGTTTTTATTGTCTCTAAAAACTGTAAGCAGGTTGCTTCTCCCACCATATTAAGTTCCTATTTTCATTATATCTCTCTCCCTTTTGCGAAGAAAACAAACTCATTTGGTTGGATTTGGACCCAATAATAGTTCCCTCACAAGGAATATTTTGGGGTATGTGACCAACCAAATGAGCATCAAAGTGATTTAACTATACACTCTTCATTTTGTTAAATTTGATCAAATTAACTTGTACGGAGTATATGAAATGATAAAGTAAGAAAGATGTGTTTGAGATTTGTGCAAGCAAGAGAAGTAAAGTAAATCAAATCACATATTTATTACTTTAATTAAGTGGATATGACAAACTTTTGTGAAATAGTAATAAATTTAGATTTTTTTTAAAGATATTATTAAAATAAAACTTATTTACACAAACATTAGTTACTACAATGTAATGTCATGGTAACTTAAGTTTGAAAATTGAACAAAGTATAATGATTTCATTATGACTTTAATCACTTAATCACATTTTTATACACAATCTTTATTCTAGTCATAAATATGTAATTACATAATTTATTTCATGGTAAAGTAAATTTGACATGAAAATGTGAATTTGATGGTCTTGTATTCTTACTCGGTTTAAGAGCTGAAAGGCGCTATATTATAAAGGAAAAAGTTACACATAAAATTAAAGAAAATATCACAAAATAATAAACAAGTTAACATTTCCTAGCAGCAAGGAACATGAGTCTTGTATTGTACATTTGAAGGTGGTAATAAAATTTCCAGCTTCTTCATCATTTCCTCCAGCTTGTGCAGCTTCGCTTCTTCACCCGACTCCAACAAAATCCTCTTCAACATCTGGAACACCAATCCACTTATATGTCTACCTCTATCCATCATTTTCTTAGAACACTCCAAAGCCTCTTCAACTCTTCCATGGGAACATAATGCAGTAACCAGAAGGTCCAGGGCATGACTATGTGGACACTGCCCTTTCACTAACAAGTAGTTCCAAAAACTTAGTCCCAAATCAATATTCTGATTCTCGCAGAAAAACTTTATCAACATAACAACGCTCCGCGTCTTAGGCAAGAATCCCCGTTCAGTCATCTTGTTACAGTCCATATATGCCGTGAATATCTTTTAACCTTATGTAACAAGATGTGGAGCTATTGTAAGAAGATACTACGTACTTGCAATTTTGGTTTCAAAACTTTTGGTTTCTAACTTTGGGCCTCAATAAGTTGTGTTATTTGATTGAAGTCTTTGGATTGGGCTTGTATAATACGGACTATCCATGTATCGAAATGTACCTATATTAACGGTATTTCGGTGTATACCAAAAGGTGAGAACATCGGTATCCATTTAAAAAATGAGGAACTGTACCTACCATTCACTTGATTGGTCCAAATAGGTATATCATTTTAATTTAGACTTGTTACGGTACACATGGATTATCTTTCTCTAGTTGTGCCAAGCTAGGGAACTATTGTAAGAAGATACTACGTACTTGCAATTTTGGTTTCAAAACTTTTGGTTTCTAACTTTGGGCCTCAATAAGTTGTGTTATTTGATTGAAGTATTTGGATTGGGCTTGTGTAATACGGAGTATCCATGTATCGAAATGTACCTAGATTAACGGTATTTCGGTGTATACCAAAAGGTGAAAACACCGTTATCCATTTAAAAAATGAGGAACTGTACCTACCATTCACTTGATTGGTCCAAATAGGTATATCATTTTTAATTTAGACTTAAATAATTCAACTGCAACTTTCTGATTGGTCCATGTGGACAAAGGTATGGTACCTTATGGGTACCATAGAATCCACCATACCAAAAATATCAAAAATTTGGAGCATGGTTTTAATTAGTATAACATTATGAAAATTGTAAATTTATAATTTTATGAAAGTGTTTTTAACAAAAAAAAAATCTTATCATTTTTATACTATAAATAATTTCTAATAAAAATATAAGTTGGTCAAAGTTTTAAAGATGACTCAGTATTTTGGGATGTACATTATGAAATTTAACACGAATCTGGACTTATTGAACTACAAATTATTTATAATACTCTCTCGGTCCTACTAAAATTGTTTCATCTTTTTTTAGTCTGCTCCGTCAAGATTGTCTTATATCAATTTTGGTAAAGTTCTTGTGATTCTAGATCATTCATACTCTATTCTCATTTTATCAATTCAATATCATTCAGTATCATATCATTAACATTTTTAAAATGACATGGAGCAATAATAATTAATTGAACACAAGAGATTGTATCTTCACTCATTAGTGGGGTATGATAGTATTGACCTTTTATATATATTAAAAAAAGTCAATGTATTGTTGTGAACATTATTGTTTATTTCCTTATAATTAATTTCTAGTTCAATTAAATTCACTTTCGTGTTAAATTTCATAAAAGTACAATCAAATACTTCGTATTCATTTGTGTGCATCTGGTAACGATTGTATTCATTTTAAAATAATTTTTATATACTAATTGATAGATATATTTTAGTTGTTCTTTTATGGATAGATATAGTAGCATTAAATGAATTCAGTTTTATTTTATTTTATTATGGCCCTGAACAGATATTGAGTGCATCAATTTATCCCCCATCCTATTAAGCTTTGCTAACTTTATTTATGCAATTGTCTCAAACAAGTTGTCATTTCCTTTAAAAGTATTAAGTGTGGGGGTAAACTATATGATCTGCACAAATCTTAATTGCATAATTTTTACTTTATATTTCACATGCAAGCCAATTTCAGCCACATTTTATGGGAGGTACTAATTAATACTCTGTATCATTTTCCTTTATCTAATATTTGTATCTAAATTCATCACTCATGAATATAATGTAATACTTTATTTTATATTCTAAAATTAGAACATTTCATTTTTAAGTGTATTATGTTATGTCTTTTAACTAATTATGTATGTGGGTATTTCTAATATTTTTGTAAAAAATTTATTTATATTTAATGTTTTTATAATCACTTTTCTAATTTTAATTTATACTCATAACTTACAACTGTTAATTCGATTTGCATTTAATCATCGGTTATTATTAACTATTGAGATATTAAACAATGCTTAATTAATAGTGACAATAAGTTTTCACTTCTTTCACTTCTACATAAATTTCTATTTGAATCTCCACTATATTCTGTTATAAAGATTCTTCTTTATCGTAATCTTAATACATATTTTACCTAGATGATAAGACACCACATACTACGTATAATTTTGGATAATGTAGGCTTCCTGTTGAAATAATTGGACATTATGAGGGGCTAAGTGAAGGAAAACAAAATAAAATCTCTTTAGAAAAGTAGAATACTAACCTCCGAGAAACTACTAACCGTTTTTTCAGTTGCATCACCACCAAAGAAAACAAAATACATTTCTACGCTTATTTCAGTTCCCTGTTAAAACTTCAATTTTCATTAGCTCCCAACAATGGCGACAATGGAGAACTTGATCGGGCTGGTAAATAGAATCCAACGAGCCTGCACTGTCTTGGGAGATCACGGCGGCGAAGGATCCCTCTGGGAAGCCCTTCCTTCGGTGGCCGTCGTCGGAGGGCAGGTTCATGCATCTCGTCCAATTTCCTTCACCGCCATTTTCACTTTATGCCTATTTTTCTCTCAATTTGTGAGTTCTGTTTGTTGTTGATTGATTAGAGCTCTGGCAAATCATCAGTCCTGGAAAGCGTTGTGGGGAGAGATTTTCTACCTCGTGGATCGGGTAATTATTATCTCCCGTCAAGCATTATACTTGTTGCCTCAGATTAGCCTGTTTCATGTTGTTCAAAATTCGAACTTTCAATTCAGAAATTATAGAGAAATGTTGAGGTCAGTTCAGACTGAGGGAACTGTCACCCGGCCAAGCCTGTTTGAGGGCCTTCCGGATTGATTTTTTTGATGAAAATTTATGAGTTTGTTCTTATTGATACGTAGAACATTCACACAAAATTCCAGATTAAAATTCAACCGGGAAGTTAGTGAAATAAATTGTTGAAAAACAGTGCGTTTTTTGTATTTATTTTTGCGCAGTGTGTTTCAATAATTTATTCAACTGAGTTCCACATTGCATTTTAAACTGAATTTTTGAGGAGATAACCTACATTTCATGAAGAACATGATCAAAAACGTTCGTTAAAAAATTATACCGAGAAGACCGTCAAATGGCATCGGCCGGATGGAGGTTCTGGTCAGTTCGGACTGACGGGAACATTACTCCAGATAGGATTCTCAATATATTATTCAGCTCATGCTCAATGAACATTTCTATTTAATTGTAATGCACATTCACTTATTATGGAGTACTATTTATACGTAGTATTAGAAACTATTACTACTACTAAGCCACTTAATATTGTGATTAATGTTGTGTATGGCTTCAATAAGTGATTCATTAACACTTTGGGATGCCATAAGTGTGAAGTTAATTTAACATTTGTTTGTTATTACTTACCCCTTTGGTCCTAAGATAAATACTCACTTTCTTTTTTCAATGTCCAAAAAGTCAAGTTTAGATTCATTTTCTGGTAATATTTGTTTAGTAAAATATCTACTCCTACAATTAGTACAATACCAGTCATTCACTTTCTCCATCATATTTTTAATGAGGGCATATTTGGATGGCCAACATCAAAGGTTATATTGCCTATAAAAAATGGTGACGTCAAATTAGCAACTTAATTTGGGGATGGGTGTTTTATTATTACTTATAGTTACTGTATTTACATTTTTACTTATGAACTGTGGATAAAACTTAATACATATTATTGTTTATTTTTGTTTTTTTATTAGGCATTGTTACAAGGAGACCATTGGTGCTGCAACTCCATAAGACTGAGGGTGGGGCAGAATATGCGGAGTTTCTTCATGCTCCTAAAAAGAGACTTACAGATTTTGGTAAGTAAAAACAGATGTGGACTTCATACATGTATTTATTTCTATAGTTATTTATATAAATTGTTACTTTTGGCGATGGTTTACTGCTTGTATATTTGTGAGGTTCATGTGGCTGAAGAAATCTTCTGATTTTTGTAAAGTATCCCTCAGATTTACAATGGGGCATGCCTTCATACATATATATTACATCTGTATGATTCAATTTGACCCTTGGTTTATTCAACTTTAAACTATTAATATTTATAGCTCTTTTGTGATAATGCAGCTGCTGTGCGACAAGAGATTTCAGATGAGACAGATCGCATTACTGGGAAAACCAAGCAAATATCAAATGTCCCAATTCACCTGAGCATCTATTCTCCTAATGGTTAGAACTCGTCTCTTTTTTTGTGCAGATTTTTTCGGAGTACTGATGGTGTGCATATGTGGCTAATTGCGAGAAAAGCAAATCCGCCATATGCACCCTAGTTTGTTTCTTTATGCTTCTCTTACCTTCTTTTGGAGGCAGCAAAAAAAATTGTGAGTTGCACCCATGATGAGTAATCACTTATGTTTGGAGAGAAGTTCATCTTCATATGAAATTCTGCATACGGTTCATACGTAGATTGCCTTCTTGATTTTCCATAAAGATAGAAAGGGGTGAAATAAGCAATATCTAGCCTGTAGTATTTGGCCTTTAGAACATATTACATCTGCAAGAAGGTATATATTGTACAGGGTGATAGCTCATGCTTTTTCTCTAAAGGGTACTTCATTTTAACACTGGCTATCCTTTCCACCTTTACTAGATATCTTTTAAATCTTTCAATGGTGTATGTATTTGTTTTACCTTAAAAGCACATAATGTATCTCTCAATCTCCCATCTAGGATGCATCACCATGACATGAGGTGGGTGTTTTGTTTTGCAGTTGTAAATCTAACTCTTGTAGATCTTCCTGGGCTGACAAAGGTTGCTGTAGGTGAGCATTAGGTCGTAGATTTACTTAGTTTTCTTTGGGTTCATTGGGTTGACTGTGGTTGATTTCAGAACAAAGTAACATTGTCTTTAACATAATTTGCAGAGGGGCAACCAGAGAGTATTGTAGAAGATATTGAAATGATGGTGCGCTCTTATGTGGCAAAGGTAATGACAGTTTCTAGCTTCAGTAAGTATGTGACAATCTGGGGAAAGTATTTTTAGGGGAGTATGTAAGAGATGCAATGTATTTTCGTTGATTTCACTTTATGGGAAGAAATTGATAGAGAAAATGTTTACGTAAGAAGTGCAACATTCCTATATTGAAATGCTTTAGTGTAGCATTACCTTGTAGGTTTAGGCCCAAGAACCTTGTGAAATGTTGTGAATAACTAAGTAAAAAATTATGAGTTGGTGTCTCCACTCTCCAATAACACTGATATGAAGAATAAATGTTTTTTTAACACAAAGAAATGAGAGGGAAAGCCAATAACGTGACTTGAGGCTTTGCATTTGAACTATATTTATTACTCCTTATTTAGAAGGGCTTAGCACAAAGTGTCGTTTGTTAGTATTTGATTAAATATTGAATGCACCATGTGTTAGCTTTACTTAGCACAATATTTTTTGCAACATTTTCATTGGCATGGTAGTGTAGAACGTATCCAAGTTAAAAAAAAATTGTCAAGACTTACTTGCATATGCACATATTCGAATACTAAATAATACATTGTCCTTTACTTCTTTCTTCCATTGGAGGATAATTACAAATTGTCTAAAAATATATCTCCTTCATGCATTTCTCTCTCCCTAGCCCAATTGCATCATTTTGGCTATTTCTCCAGCCAACCAAGACATTGCAACTTCTGATGCTATAAAACTTGCAAGAGAAGTTGATCCTTCAGGTACAATATCTTTCCTTAATGAGATGTTTATTCTCTTTTTCATATTTATGTCATTCTGAATTTCCCTTTAGTCTATTATTTCTTTTAAATTCTGACCTTAGTGTTTTCTTTATCCAGGAGAAAGGACATTTGGAGTGTTAACTAAACTAGATCTGATGGATCAAGGAACAAATGCCTTGGATGTATGATATGTAGTCCTTTCAAGGCTAATTTATTTTGTTTCAAACTAGCAATATTTGCTCTCATTTGTCCTTTAATTATCTCTTTTTTCTATCTCGTTTTCTGTAAGGTGCTTGAAGGTAGGTCATACAGGCTCCAACATCCGTGGGTTGGAATTGTGAATCGTTCACAGGCTGACATTAATAAGAATGTTGACATGATGTATGCCCGTCGTAAGGAACAAGAGTATTTTGAGTCCAGCCCTGAATATGGACATCTAGCTCATAAAATGGGTTCTGAGTATCTGGCAAAACTTCTCTCACAGGTTTTCTCCTAAATGTGTAACTTTTTATTAAAGTTCTATTTTGAGGTCATGTACAACACTCCCTGTCTTCCTCTTTACCAAGACACCTTTGAGTTTTTGTGGTAAATATTTTAACTTTGGCCAATAATATTTTTTTATGAAAAAAAATTATAGCATGAAGTCAATATAAAAAATGTTACAGTATTTGTTTAGCTTACTCTCATAAAAGTACACATTTTATAATCATTTCCAAATATACTTTTATCATCTAAAACATTGATCAAAGTTCATTTTGACCACAAAAAGACAAATGTCATCTAATAAAGAGGGATGGATGGAGTAATATTTTCAAAAGTACTCATAATGGCTTTTACTCATGATCATGTTTAGCATTTGGAGGTTGTCATTAGGCAGCGCATACCGGGTATCATTGCACTAATAAATAAGACCATAGATGAGCTTAATGCGGAGTTGGATCGTATTGGACGGCCTGTTGGTGTAGATGGAGGGGTAATGGTCACAAAATCCAGAATTTGAGTTCTACGCCTAAGAGAAAGCCCAATATTGATCTTTTCTTTTTATTTGCAGGCACATCTGTATACAATATTGCAAATGTGCCGTGCATTTGATCGCATATTTCGAGAACATCTTGATGGAGGGTAATTACATATTTTCATCCATTTTTCCTGAAAGTTGAAAATCATTTTGACAGCACTTTTGCAAATGTATTGTTTTTGTGTACAAGAACTTGGTGTTAAAAAAACCTCAAGATATATTGTTACAGTTCTATCTCAACTTCAAACCAAAATGATCTTTCTGAATGTTATGCAATGACCACAAAGTATGACGGCCCATTTGGTTATTGTGATTTGATGTTCAAGTATGTGATGAGCATCAATCTTTGTCTCAGGAGGCCAGGTGGTGATAGGATATATGCTGTCTTTGATCATCAGCTCCCCTCTGCCATGAAAAAGCTTCCTCTGGATCGCCACCTTTCGTTGAATAATGTCAAGAAAGTCATTTCTGAGGCAGACGGTTATCAGCCTCACCTGATTGCACCTGAACAAGGATACATGAGATTGATTGATGGATCCCTTGGATACTTCAAGGGTCCTGCTGAAGCTTCTGTTGATGCGGTGGGATCAACATTCTTTCATATTGTTGCTTATATTCTTATCCTATATGGTTTATATGCAAATATGATGGTTTCATTACATAATGGATGGTTAATATTAGGTGAAAGTTCAATTATCTAGTTTTTTTAAGAGACTTTAATTTCTTTACCATTTGTTTATTTATTTAAGGTGCACATCATATTGAAAGAATTGGTGAGGAAGTCCATTGCCCAGACAGAGGTAGGTTTAACACTTCTGTTAAGCATTCTTCTTTTAGTATGGCCTACATATGTGAAAGTCATTTGCATTTCTATTCATGAGTTTGTCTTTCAAATGGTGTCTTGTTTTTCATTTGAAGAGAAAGAAATAAAAACAATAGGTAGATTATGATTGAAATTAATTTCTTGATATTAGTGATAGCTTTATATCTATAACAAAATGGTCATGTAGGAATTGAAGCGATTCCCAACACTTCAATCTGATATAGCTGCTGCTGCAAATGATGCACTTGAGAGATTTCGTGATGAAAGTCGCAAGACGGTTACGAGACTGGTGGAAATGGAATCTTCATACCTGACTGTGGAGTTTTTCAGGAAGCTTCAGACAGAGCCAGAGAAAAATGCAAACACAAACCAAAATAGTTCAAATACAGACCGCTACACTGATCATCATCTCAGAAGAATTGGTGAGTTGGCGTTCAAACCATAATTCATTTTTTAGAATTACAAAAATTATACGGAGTAGTTTACATTGAATGCATCATTGTTGATAAAATGCCACTCTAACCCTGGCTTATCTGAGCGAAGGTTCCTCTGTCTAAAAAATAGGGTGGTTATCTAAGAACTTAAGACATTGGAGATGTGAACTCATATTTGGATGTGCAAAGCTAAAAGTTCCCCTTTTCATTAAGTTATTCTTCCGAAGGTGGAATCTCCAACCCTACACTCTAGCTTGCAAGATGGAGTAGGTGCATGAGATAAAATCACAATGACTTAGTTGGATCAAAGGCTAGACTTGTACCATAGCGACACAGAGATCCACCAATTTGCTTTAATTAACTCTCATTCTGTTGCTGATAAAATTCAATTCTTCCAACTTTTCACTCTTTGAAGTAACTAAGCTACATATATGGGCTTATGCCCCCAGTGATTCCCTTACTAGAAGCTAGGTCACAGTTCTAGGTCTCGGTATGGTATACACTTGATGCTTCTTACAACCCTTTTATATGGTATATTCAATATAAGGAAACTTTTTGTTTGCACACATCATGTGTACACCCCCCCAATAGTCTATGTACACAAGCAATTCGTAAAAGAATCAATTTTTTTTAAAGAAAACGTATGGATTGTCTGTAGCGTGTAAAAAGGTGTGTACATGCCGAGAGCTAATCCTCAAACCTGATGCTTTTATATCAGAAACATTGTTATCACGATAAAATACCATTTTCTCTAAATGTGTTTTCTTGACTGGCGCAGGATCAAATGTCACTGCATATGTTGGCATGGTATGCGACACATTAAAGGTTACTATTCCCAAGGCAGTTGTTTATTGCCAAGTTCGAGAGGCTAAGAGAGCACTGTTAAACAGGTTCTACTCTGAAGTTGGAAGGAGAGAGGTAAAACACACGCGGTCTAGCTAGATTAAATGCAGATGCAGATGACTCTTTGTGCAATATTTAAACATTAAAAAAACATTCATCATCAGAACAACTTGAGTTGATGCTTTTGAATACATCAATCCAAAAAGAAGCAAATTGATGTGTTTCAAAAGGGTAAAGAAGTGATTTTTTTTTTATTTGTGTTCAGAAGGAGCAATTGGGGAAAATGCTGGATGAAGATCCTTCACTAATGGCAAAGAGGGAGGCCATAGCCAAGAGGCTGGAGCTGTACAAGTCTGCTAGAGATGAGATTGACTCTGTTGCCTGGAAATGAAAAACTGGCCAAATTCTTCCAATCTTCTCCCTTACATCTGTCTAGTTAATTGATTAGTTCACACATATATAGCATTCTCATTATTTGATTTATAGTTCGAGTATGCTAAATCATACTTCTTATTCTTTTTCCACACAAAAATAATAATAGATCGAAATGCCCCTGATGTAAACATGTTAACATGTATTCTTATTGCCAGTTTACTTTTGTAATTTTGTTCTTCCATTTTGCTTGTTTCGTTTGATTCTTTAGTGGACTAAGTGCAAATCTATATGATATTTCAAAAAAAAATGAAAAATGAACTCTAATCCGTGACTCTGTGAGGGCGATTTAACCGTGGATTGAAAGGTTAAATTGGTTATCTGATATCTGAGAACATCTCATGCTGAAGTGTTGAACATGGTCACCCTCTAGGTTAGTTGCTACTTGTCCAGAATCAAACTCGGGAAAAAAAGTTCTAGTAGCACATCTTATAAACTAATTGAGGGGTACTAATTGTCATGGGGCTTGTATGTAGTCTAAAGCAGGGATGTTTAGAACACGGAAATTTTTAGGAGGTTTTCTTTTACTACTAAATATGTATTAATGACTCTGCATAGTACATGGATTGGGATCAACATTGAATAAATCTTTTCAGACATTCTTGGAAGGAGAACGGGCCACCAGATACTTGACAGACAAGCAAAGAAACAAGCTTTTGGATGGTGCCGCCTTCAAAATCACCGACTGTAACCATGAGCTAGCTTCAGACCTTGTCAATGTGATGAGCATATGTTGACACACTTTTCTTAATTACGTAGTAACTTATAAGAATATAGCAAATTCTTTCCCCCTTTACTCCCCATTTTACCTCAATTAGAAATCTTTCTTTAGGATATCAATCTTGTGATCTCAGGCTAGGAAAACAGAGTCTTCACTTCAGTTTCATAAATTTAGTCACTCAATTGTTATCTGACGTGCACTTTGTCGTGATGTGCACTCAAAATAATAATACAATACATCACTTATACGTAGTATAACGTAGTAGAGTTCGTATCCACCGGGAAAGGAATGATTCTCTTTTTATAGAACTAGTAAATAAAAGGGGGGTTTAGGATTGAATGATTTAATTTAATTAAACAGAAAGATGAACAACTTAAATGTGATTTAATTTAAAGATAAAAAGGACTTGGCATTGCTACTTTCCACTTGTTGATATATTTTAGTCGATCATTGTTATATCTATAACTTATCCCCTCTCAAATACTCAATCGAGGAGTATATCCAATTCATCGAGAGTAGTTATTAACAACGACCGTTCATTAATAACCCTTACTATTAGTCAAGTATAGAACACCGCCATATACCGACTTAATAGTAGCATTTAATCTATTAACTCTTTGATGAAATCAATTGAGATTGATAACCTCAACACAACGGTTTCGGTTTAACCAACAAAATTAATCCCTCTTAAATTTATTAACCACGACCGTGCATTAATAAACCGAAGTTACTTACTTGTGAAACCATCAACAATTAACCATCGGTTCGTTGATCGTTTCTAGTAGTAATTAATGTCGAGATGTTAACTAATTGTCATCTTAGCAACACTCCCCAACATTAATATAGAGATAGATTAAGGGAATAATTAATATTCAAGGTAGAAGATTAAATATGAATAATCCTACTATAACTAATGTCAAGATGTTATCTAATTGTCATCTTAGCAACACTCCCCAACATTAATATATAGAGGAAGAAAATAAATATTACTATAACTAATGTCGAGATGTTAACTAATTGTCATCTTAGCAACACTCCCCAACATTAATATATAGATAGATTAAAAGAATAATTAATATTCAAGGGAAGAAGTTAAGAAAATAACTCACAACTTTAATAATCAACAAGCTTCAAGAGCAACACCAACAAATGGAAGTTTAGCTCCTCATTTGGAGACTAAACATGCTATAAAATATAAAAGAAATACTATTCTAAACTGAGCTTAAGAGTATGGAAGAAGGGATGATTTTATTGTGAAGGAAAAGGGGTGTATTTATAGGTGTTTGGAGGTGGCAGGGTTGTGTACCCGATCGGGTATATAGGGTACCCGATCGGGTATTTTAGGCAGTTTCCCGCAAAATCACTTTTATAGACATATCCGGTCGGGTATGTAGGCATACCCGGTCAGGTATGAGCCAAAAAGTCAAAATCTTGCACGTTCTTTTGTCTCTCCAGATTCTGATTTTGACACCCGAATGAACTCAATACCCGATCGGGTATTGCCTATACCCGACCGGGTATATGAAATATTTTTTCAATCTTCTTTTTATCTTGTCCCCTTGCACTTTCCTTGATCTTGTGGGGTCCAAACTTGATCCTTTGGATGATCTTGACCTGTTTTAAGCTCAGAATAATCCTAATCTAAATAAATTACAAATAATTAATGAAAATAAAGTATTACACCAAAAGTGTGCAATTTCCACAACTAGAACTAATAAAACTAGTTAAAAATACAAACATACATAATAGGAAATTCACACCATCATTATCGTTTAAAAGTCAGTTAGTACATGATTTAGTTATTTACTCCCTCCATTATTATATCTTACAAAGGATAATTTTATCCTCCCAAAACATATTTGGGTCCAGATCACACAGTTAAGGACTAAATTGAGTTCTAAATTTTGTGAATCACCAAAAATACATCCTTATATAGAGCCAAATGTTTGAGAACTAAACTGTGTCAAAATTGTATAGCAGAGAACCAAATATAGTCACCCAAAAAGTTGTCCAATTTGAGTAAAATCGCTTATATTAGAGGGACTAATAGGCTCATGTTCATGCTTTCATTGCCCAGATTCACACTCTTTGATATGATTTTGGAAATTCTGCTTTTGTCATTCTATCTCCCATCTTTGTGTTTATCAACAGGAATATGCACACAACCTTTCTTCCATGGGGATGGATGCTGCTAGTATGAAGTATCCCTTCACACCGTTCTTTATGAAAGTGATTCATGATTAAGAATTTGCTGCAAATAATACTTCGTATATAATATGCATCATGCATACAACAGAAATGTTATTTTGTTATAAAATGGGACTTCAACCTTCATATTATAAAGGCTTTGTTTGGGAATCAACTATTAGATTTAACAGTCTGTTGGTTATGTCAATTATTTGATAATAAGTGATTTCATTAATTGTTTTGATTGACAGATTATGTTAATTTATTGTTAACAAATATTTGGTTAAATTAGTTGTTACGTTGGAAAACAATTGTTTAAGTGCAAAAGACATATAAAGACATAAGTATATGTTTAAAAGTTTTTGGGTGATGCAAATAGTGATAAAGTTATAATTACATTTATTTAATTTAATAAAAACATTCTTTTATTTGAAATTTAAAAAGAATAAATTAGTTCCAACTTCAATAAAATACTCCGTAAATATTAACAAACAACTCCTCTCGATTGCAATATGATAAGTTTATATTGCAAGCAAAGTTAGTAACATCAATAGTTCCAACTTCAATAAAATAATCCGTAAATATTAACAAACAACTCCTCTCGATTGCAATATGATAAATTTATATTGCAAGCAAAGTTAGTAACATCAAACATAAAGAAGTACTAACACGCTTGGTTTAGTTTAAAACAAAATTAAAAAGCACACAGTGATTTATGAATTTGTGTAGCTTCCATCAAGTTAGAAGGTACATTATTACAGAAATTGACTTAGGATGTTTGGCCCCTCCCAATCTGTTAAATCATACTCCGTACTCTCTATTCTTAAAATTTGACCAAATTTGACTTATATGGAAAATGATAAAATAAAAATTATGTAATTAAAGTTTGTGTATAGGAGAGATTAATAATTAGAAACACAAATCAATTGATTAAAAGAAAGGGAAAAATACTCTAATATAACTAAAACTCATGAGTTTTCTAAGAATATGACCATATATGTTTTTAATCTTATGTATGACCAAATGGAACATCACATACATGGCCGGCTCGAATGATGAAAATAAATAACCAAAAATGACCTTATGCATATACGAACTAATTCCTTATTTTTAGGAACAATAATAATTAATGCAGCCTAATGTATGCTTTAATTTCTCTTCGTCGTAAATAAGGATATGCGGCAAAAGAAAGTAATTATTTGAAAAGCAATGGCCAATAGTTTAGGTAATAAAAAATGGGCATTAACATAAGGCAGTGAATAACATAGGCAGTAAAAACATTTCAAAAAAACATAGGCAGTAAAATAATGAAATATTTAGTAATAAATGTTGACGTGTGAGCATAGGCACTAAATAGAGGACAATAAAGAAATGGGCATTAACATAAGGCAGTGAATAACATAGGCAGTAAAAACCTTTCAAAAACACATAGGCAGTAAAATAATGAAATATTTAGTAATAAATGTTGACGTGTGAGCATAGGCACTAAATAGGAGACTATAAAGAAATGCGCATTAACATAAGGCAGTGAATAACATAGACAGTAAAATCCTTTTAAAAAAACATAGGCAGTAAAAATAATGAATTGTTTAGTAATAAATGTTGACGGGTCAGCATAGGCACTAAATAGAGGACAAAAAGAAATGGGCATTAACATAAGACAGTAAATAAGACGAACAATAAAATAATGAATTATTTTATTCGTTAGTAAATATTTGCATTCTATATATGATCCATAAATGAAATACACAGTAAATATAAAAATATTAGTAATTTTTTAAGAGGGTAGTAAATGTGTATGAGGGCAGTATTGTTTGTAGTATGTAGACGTACTGTTAAGGGAGAAAAATTAATGAAAATACTTACCTTCTATTAATTACTTCCTTATTTTTAGGATATTCCATTTACTAAAGAGCCGGTTATACGCACGGCAGTTACAAAGCCGATTGTTATGCTGAATCGTGATAAGGAGATCGCCACAATTTTAGGAAGGAAAATATATTTCATTAATTGCATACAAGGATAGTAATGGTATTAGCTTAAAATTCAAAACACACGTGCATGGGATAAAGGCATCTGCGGTCATAGATTTAGAATAAAACTGAAGTAGTCATACGATGGGAAGCACATCCAGTTTTAGTTATACGCGTGATAATTTTCTCTAAAAGAAAATATGGAAAAGTTTTCGGGTCATAAAAGAGAAAGGGAATATGTGAATAAAAGATCAAAAGCAAAGACCGCTAATTAGTGG